AAACATTTATCTTGAAATTCTTGCTTGAGTTTTGAGATACAACATAATGTGCATTTATCTGAGGCATTTGTTAAAACACAAGATATTAAATCTACAGTTCTGAATCAATAAGTGACGGTTCTCATGGCAGAAAGCCAATTCAAGTATATTTGGTGCAAAAGCTGGCAGAGTTCACAGTAAGGAGACACTTATTAAGAGGGTGCATGAGAAATGAGATTCAATTCATGAAAAACATTCCATTTATTTTTTCCCTAGTATCTACCTCCTTCATTTTACATTTTCTCTTTACAAAACCTTTTCCACATAACCGAATCTCTGAAGCCTGCCATGCTACTTTGCTGCATAAGAAAAGGATAAGTGCTGGGGATTGTCCTACTGATCCCACGTCTTGTCAGCCCACTATGTAATCAAGGAGAAGGAAGCACAGCATCAGCACAGTGTCTGGACACAGTCCTCAGGAGAGTGTTTCACTACACAAAGGAAATGTTGTTTGGCCAGGAGTCAGGGTTAAGAGAGCATGTAGACTCTACGTTAAAGGATCTATATTGTGAGCATTTTAACAGATTTTGCTCTTTTATATGGCAAGGTGGAAGTAATTGTGTCTTCTTTAACAAATGAATGTGAATGATAAAACACGTCAGTGTCCAAGTTGTAATAAACTCTGTTAATTTTGGATGAGATTGCAAGTTTCACAAGAAATAACTAAAATTTGCCAGAAATTTATGAACTAGAAGCATGATATTACAAGACAGTTTAAGGGAAGTAGGCAGCATAGGGCATGAATTGAATGACTAACGTGATAGAGGTGATAAAGTTGACCACAAGCTTACAGTACATCGTGTACTTAGGGAAGTTACTCTCTGTTGCATGCATGTGATGTGTGCCTGTTACACACTGTGAACTTTCGCTCACCCCAGAAACAAAGGCTAAGATCTTGTTTGGCCTAGATTATACGAAGGCATGAAATAGTTATTCAGGAATCAGCTTACCCCTATAAGTATAGAAAAGGCAAAGACCCTATGCTGAGATCGTCAGTTTGAGCTTATTCTATCAAGCAGTTCACTGGCTGTTTTGGCCATTCTGTTCTCTCAATTTTATAATTAAATCTGTTTCATATAACTTTCATTTTTCTGAGAATCTCATTCTGCAATAGATTGGTTCCACCTCCATATGGCTCTGGAGAAAATTTTTTCTAGTGACACTCTTCCTTCTGCTGATGTTTGATATCCTTGTGTCCTATGCCCTGGCTTGAAGATGCTTCACTCCAATCCTTGCCTCTGTTGCCATGTGGTCAACTTCCCTGTGTCTGTTAATATGCCTCCTCTTTTATGGGCACAGTTA